AAGAAATACGAGCCATAACACGAGTAGATATAGGCACACAAATATTCATAGCAGCACTATTTCCAATAGCAAAATGATGGAGACAGCCTAAATGCCCATCAACTGAAGAATGGATAAACAAACTGTGGTATATACACACAATGGAATACTATGCTACCTTGAAAACTAACAAGGAAGCTGCAAGCCACTGCATAACATGTATGAACCTCGAGGACATTATGCTGAATGAAATCAGTCAGTAACAAAAAGAGAAATACTGCATAAGACCACTATTGTAAAAGACTAAGAAAAAGAACCCACCCAAAAGGGGGAAAAAAAACTAAATATATAAAATGTCTGATCACCGGGATGTATGGGATGAGAGGAGGGGAGGGAGTGGAAGATAGAGCACAGGATAGGGAATAGATACAGGAAAGCGTGGGTGCTGGGGCGTTGGGGTTGGCAATACACAAGAAAGGGGAGGGGAATAGAAAAATAAGGCGGATAGGAGAACAGTTAGTCAGGTTTGCATGGGACAGAGGTAAATGATGTATGCACAACCTTGGAACAACAGGGCTCTGGGATACAGGGATTGAGACATAGTTGGAATGGGGAAAAGGGGGGAAATAATGTTAAGATGCTTGGCTGTCTGCTGAATCATGGTTTCCCTGGTATAACACTGTAAGGTAAACATTTGAGAGGGAGAGAAAGGAATAGCCAAAAATATCACCATAGAAAGCTTTTAAGTCTGTCTTCTGCCTATAACTGACTGGAATACCTAAACTGGGGCTACAATGTGCCCAGTGAAGGAGGCTTCCTGTGGAGCCTCTGCATTACATGGGACCATAGGTGGAATCCTGAACCTCATCCAGAATCTTCTGAAGTGGGAAATCTCCACTTGAAAGGACAAGCAGACCAGCCTGGAGCAGTTAGAAGAACAGAAGACACTTCTTGAAAGAAAGACCAACAGGAAAAATACAAAACAATATAGACAGACCAACTGATTACTACAGAGAACCAGCAAGTTGCTCGCCCAGGAGACATTAAGGCAAGTGGTTGGGTCCTCTCAGGGCAAACCTCCTTCTAAGACAAACTCAATGGGAATGCACACTCTGATTGATGACCACGTTTCTCAATGATGAGGGGAAGTGAGGGAAAAAAAGCAATGAAGCTGCGAGCTAAGCCCTACAACGTTCAACAGACTCCTGTGAACCCAGGTGGAGACCTGGTTGGCCAGCAGTGTGGCAAGA